AAATAGGTTTAATGACGTTTTGAATTTACAATTATATTGAGTACTCATTATATGTGATGTTCTAAATTCAAATCTACTTTGCCGCTCAAGCGAATAAAATAGAATTTTCCAGCCAGATTTCGAAGCGCAAAATTACACTTTCCGAGGTGGTGGGATGAAAATACAATTTTCATCCCACCACCTCGGAAAGTGTAATTTTGCGCTTCGAAATCTGGCTGGAAAATTCTATTTTATTGAAAATACAATTTTCATCCCACCACCTCGGAAAGTGTAATTTTGCGCTTCGAAATCTGGCTGGAAAATTCTATTTTATTCGCTTGAGCGGCAAAGTAGATTTGAATTTAGAACATCACATATAATGAGTACTCAATATAATTGTAAATTCAAAACGTCATTAAACCTATTTAATGTAACCTCTATGGTGCCAAATTTATGATTAGAACTTTTTAAATTGTGAAAAAATTTAAATTTGGAACCTTCTTGGTTTCTTTGTTTTATTTGCGTGCTTCGCGCCATTCTAGTTTTTCACGTTTTATTGCTTAATATAATTAACATAACCTAAAAACTGTACAAAAAAATCAACTAAAATGAGTGACATTAGCGACGATGAAGTTTATCTAACGCCAACTGAGTTAACTGAAACAGTTAATAATGCGCAAATGAGCCTTCTCCCTCAGCAATCACGAGAGAAGTATTTGAAACAGTACGATATATTTAACATGTGGCGACTAGCTAAAGGAGCAAAAACTTTCTCCGAAAACGTTTTGCTGGCATATTTTATAGAATTATCTGAGACCAAGAAAGCAAGCACGCTATGGAGTACGTATTCAATGCTAAAATTAACAATTAAGATGAAGAAAGACGTTCATATCGACACCTATCATAAATTAGTGGCATTTTTAAAAAGAGCCTCATCTGGTTATAAACCAAAAAAATCGAAGGTTTTCACAGCATCTGAAATTGCAAAGTTTATTAATGAAGCACCTGATTCCGTATATTTAGCGGCAAAAGTAAGTCAATACGTGTAATTTTTTGTTGTTGATAAAATTGTACATAGTACTTACAATATTTTTAATTTGATTAATTTATTTACGATTATAAATACTTCTTTTGTTACAGGTTGTTCTTATTATTGGTATAACCGGAGCATGTCGAACAAATGAACTTACACTACTTAATGTCAATAACGTATCAAAATATTCTCATAATTCTGATGAATTGCTATTAATTAATGTACTAAATACCAAGACAAAAAAAGACCGCAACTTCGTTATTCGCAAGGAATATGTAAACATCCATCCATCCATCAGCCTTTTTCCGTCCACTGCAGGACATAGGCCTCCCCCATAGAACGCCACAATGCGCGGTCCTGCGCTATCCGCATCCAGCGGCTCCCAGCACATTTGACGATGTCGTCAGTCCACCGTGTTGGGGGCCGCCCCACGCTGCGTCGTCCGGTACGTGGTCGCCACTCGAGGACCTTTCTTACCCAACGGTTGTCAGGTCCTCGAGCGATGTGGCCTGCCCATTGCCACTTCAGCGTGCTAACTCTTCGGGCTATGTCGTACACACCGGTCCTTCTACGGATCTCCGTATTCCGGATCTTATCACGTAGGGAAACACCGAGCATAGCCCTCTCCATAGCACGCTGCGCGACTTTGAGTTTTGTCATGAGGCCGACATTCAGAGACCACGTCTCAGTCCCATAAGTCATCACTGGTAACACACACTGGTCATAGACCTTTCTTTTCAGGCACTGGGGAATTTTGGCCGTGAGGATATGCCTAAGCTTCCCGAACGCTGCCCATCCGAGTTGGATTCGTCGGTTGACCTCTTTCTCGAAGTTGGATTTGCCCAACTGGACTGTTTGTCCTAGGTAGACGTAATGATCGACAACTTCGAGAATCGCATTCCCAACAGATACTGGTGCTGGAGTGACATGGACATTGAACATGACCTTGGTTTTATCCATGTTCATCCTTAAACCAACCCGTTGGGAAACTCTGCTGAGGTCATTGAGCATTGTGCCAAGGTCCTCCAGGGATTCTGCCATAACCACGATATCGTCTGCAAATCGAAGGTGAGTGATGTATTCGCCGTTGATGTTGATACCGAGTTCGGTCCAATCCAGAAGCTTGAAGACGTCTTCCAATGCAGCGGTGAACAGTTTCGGGGAAATTACGTCACCCTGTCTGACACCCTTCTGCAATGGAATCGGCCTCGTACTTCTCTCCTGGATTCGGACTGACATAGTGGCGTTTCTATACAAACACTTCAACACTTCGATATATCGATAGTCAATTTGGCACCGCTGGAGGGACTGCAGCACCGCCCAAGTCTCGACCGAATCGAAGGCCTTCTCATAGTCCACATACGCTAGACACAGAGGCCGATTATACTCCTCGGACTTCTGTATGATCTGACGCAGCGTATGTATGTGGTCCATGGTACTAAAGCCCTTTCGGAAACCGGCTTGTTCGGGAGGCTGGAAGTCGTCGAACCTGCGCGAAAGTCGATTTGTAATGACTCTCGAAAACAACTTATAGACGTGGCTCAAGAGCGAGATAGGTCGATAGTTCTTCAAGCGGGTTTTATCGCCTTTCTTGAAGAACAATGGATGGATGGATGGATGGACTGTTTTAGAAGAACCTCAGCCACACTTTTGGCCGAATCAGGGGCTGATCTTCTATCGCTTAAGCGCCATGGAGGCTGGAAGTCTAATTCGGTTGTAGAGGGATACATAGAGGATTCAATCCAAAGTAAATCAAAAATTTGTAATAGTATCGTGGAGGCCATAACGCTGAAAGAACCTCTGTCAGATTCTTGGTCTCGCCCTTCTACATCTAAAATGAGCCCCCATAAGATTGGAAACAATAGCCCTCTCTCGCCAACATTTACGCCAATAGAATCCAATGAATCGGCACAACTATTTAAAATTACTGATACGAGTAGTTTACCACAAAACAGCGCACAATTCACAAACACCAACATAACATTACCTAACAAAAATATTAAACTTAACATAAGTAACTGTAGCAACGTTACATTTAATATTTCTTAATTATTTTCTACTTCTTATTATTTTCTTCAATTTATAGATTATCTTAATGTGTTTTAATTGAAATAAAAATATTTTGTCATTATAAATTGTTTTCTTTTTCATTTTGTCATTTCCTCGCTGAGGTGGGATGAAAAGTTACGTATTGCACTCGAGTGGAAAGATTTTTCACCTTGTGCTCGTTTGTTTCCCTCGCTGACGCTCAGGATTCTAATTTAGAATCACTCGCTGCGCTCGTGATTCAACTTTAGAATCCTTCGCTTGCTCGGTCATCCAAATCGAGCACGCGGTTAAAAAGGAACTTTCCACTCTTGTATAATAAATAACTATTAAATGTTATATTTACTTTTTTGTTTGTTGTTCATTTTTTTTATTTTTTTTTGGAAAGGGTTGAGTCTCGTCTGCTGTCAGCAGTTCTATTCTGTATAATTTTCACGCGCGATTCCGATATGAATCAGCGCTGATCTACATCGGATCCGCACGTGAAATTTTTTGAATAGGACTGCTGGACTGCGTCAAGTTTTTCTAGTAATATTTTCTTAAGGTATTTATAAATCTAGAAGTTAAAGGCTCAAAATTAATATAATGAACTACCTACTTACATTTGGTTACAAAATATCTGAAGATTATTATATAAATAAACAAAAAAGTGCTGGAGTTTATCTTAAAAAGTCAAGTAAAATGAAGTTGCAAAATGCTAGCTGAATAAAGGGTCACGTGTCCACGTGACCTAATCGAAAATTCTTAAGACGAAAACAATAAAATTGGAAAGATTGTTGACTTTTAATATATTGGACGAAATATAGTAATATTTTATTTTACCGTATTATAATAATAAGTCTCTAATTAGGACGTCCAGGTAGCAGCTTTATTGCGAAGAAAATGCATTTTTTTTACAATGTGATTCATGTAAGTTGATTTTTCTGAGAGACAAACTTTTTAATATAATATAAATTGTCATGTTTGTGTACGATAGCGCAATAAATAAATATTGTATTCTCCCACATACATGATAGCACTTTTATACTGATAATTAAAGCAATTTGTGCAAAATCATTCCCTAACCATTCCAAAATTCAAGTTTTCACTTCTGCCGGCACTCCCGGAGTGCAACCCGTTTTTTTTCAAATCCAAGGTCTTGTAGAAACATTTGAACTGATAACATTTAAAGTCGTATAAGCGGTATAAAAAACAAAATGTTCGGTATTCATACATACCTGCTCTACATATTTTCGAGTACACTCTAGCTATAAAAACGACTGAACAGTGTCTTGGTCATCATTGGAAGCAAAGGACCGTTCAGTGTCTATACTTATCGAATATGTTACCATTTTGTCTTCTTCTTGTCTCTTTGCTTGCAGCGCAATCTCAAGCAAAGGTTTTCTTTAAACCTGAAGAAGCTGAGAGTTTATTTGAAGAATTCATTGATAACTTTAATAAATACTATTCCAATGAAGAAGAGAAAACTTTCAGATTCAACGTATTTAAAGAAAATCTGAAAAAAATCAACGACAGAAATGCCAGATCTAGTTTAGCTGAGTATGGTGAGTATCAATTAGAAATAAGAAATTTGTTTAATATGTAAGTAATGTAAATGTATAATATAATTTGTATATTATCTTTATAAGACTAAAATGGCTAAGATAATTTAATTTAGATAAAACACCAAGAAATATACCCTGTTTGACGCAAATAAATTGCATTGAATTGTACATTGATATAGTGAGTCAACCAGAGAAAATAGGAAAATTTGCGTTAATCAAGTTATTTCCCCATACATTTAGTTTACATAACAGGTATAAATGAAATCACTGTTTCTGTGTGCTCAGGAATAAACCATTTCACTGATTTGACGGTGGATGAATTCGTCCGTAAATACACTGGGTAGAGGTTGCCGTCCCAAGGTGCCGGCCCCGTTTGCAAGGAATCAAATCCGTTAGATGTTACCGGTCATGCTCCTGAATCTCTAGATTGGCGCAAGGAAGGCAAGGTAACAGCTATTAAGAACCAAGGTCAATGCGGTTCCTGCTGGGCCTTCGGTACTACTGGTGAGTATCAAAGTTAGCATTTTTATTAATAAAGCCTTATTCACTTTAAAAGTTCGAAAGTGTGTCTGTCTGTCCCCTCTTTGCTCTTACACCACGTAACTGATTCCGATGAAATTGAATTCAGAGAGAATTTGAATCCTGGTTTTTGTATGGGAAACCTTTTTTTTATCATAAAAACTAAACTACTCGACAATTACAGTTGATCGCAATAAGAGGTCCTGTTTATGACTGGTTAAAATCGTACTTAGAGAACAGGGTTCATTTTATAGAGGGAACAAATTGATGATCATCATAATAAAGAAGCCTAAAGATCCAGTCTTAAAAAAAAATACTGGTGTCCCACAGGGGAGTATACTAGATCCATTGCTATTTCTAGTTTGTATCAATGACATTACAAATTGTTCAAACAATAAATTTATCTTATTTCTTGACGATGTCTCAGTGTTAGTCTCTGCTAATAAAAGCAGCACAAAATAACAACATCGAAATGAATTCATTGGCCAAATGCTAATAATCTTCAAATTAATGTTAACAAAACCAAAATAATTTTAATAATCTTAAAAATCCTTTGACCAGTTTTAACATTAACTAAGAACAAGATAAATGGGCTACAAAAGGCAAGTTTTTGGGTCTATTTATAGATAGAATAATGTTATATGGCTGTTACGTTTTTCATATGTTAGAAATGTTTGTCATGCTATTAATATGGCTAAATAGGTTTAAGTTCCTTAGCTTAACATATGGTTTATATGCAAATACCTTTAGTCAACTCTATTTAATAAAAATAAAGAGTATTCTATTCTATTCTTATATCTCGCAGACACCCACTAGTAGTATACAATATTTATCGTCATCTGAGTTCCCAAATTCTATTCTCTGTTTTCACGTAGAAAGTTTAGTTCGTATCAATGGTGTCTTTATATATATATATATTTGTTAAAAAATTGTTATCAGGTACTCTGGAAGGAGCGTACGCAATAAAACACAATACCCTCGTTTCGTTATCCGAACAACAGTTGTTGGACTGCGACAAGAAAAATAGTGGTTGTTGCGGTGGTTTTATGGACAAAGCTATGATGTGAGTGTTAAGAATGGGCACTCTTTTTTCTTACCATTAACAGGAGAAAGAAGAAATATCGAGATCATGATTGAATCCACAATATTTTGGCTGGTCATGTGGCATGCAAGACTGATTCGTGGAGCAAGTGGCTTCTCGAGTGGCGAACATGGGGTTAAAACGTCCTCCAGGAAGACCTCAGATGTGTTGGGACGATGACCTGAGAAGAACTGCAGGGAAAATTTGGCTTCAGGTCGCACAAAATCGTGACAGGTGGCGTAATTTGAAGGAGGCCTACACCCAAAGGGTTGAGGCAGGCTGCAAGAGAGAGAGATAGAGAAAGCTTGAATCCACAGGTTATACTTATATGTATACGACAGCTTGGTTCTAGGCATAGCAGGCCAGCTCAGCAGCGGGACGGCTTAGGGGGCAACCGCCTCATTCTGCGAGGACATCATCTCGCAGAAGGAGGTGACCGAGAGGGAACGGGAGGATAATCCTCTGGCCGCTCCCTGCCGCCGTAGAAGAACAGGAAGGTGAAGGCGAAGGCGTGACCTGGCTGCGACCGCCCAGTGACCCAGGCCCCCAATGGAGGAATTCCCTTCCGCAGCGGACGGGGCGCGATGCGGTAGGCAATAGGCCGCGCACTTAGCTCCCAGCGCGGGCAATCCTGCGCACGTCTGCGGGATTACCCGCGATACCCCGGGTGATTCTTGCCATGGAGCCCCAGGCTAGGCCGGGAGGCAGGGTGCAGAGAAGCGGTGAAGTCCCTCAACGGGGATCTCGCGGTTTCGCACTTAACAGCGTAGAGAGTATTCGCAGGGATTTTTAGCGGATAGTGTGCCGCAATCGCTCGTAAGCTGCGTAACGGCTTTTCGGTTTCGCACCCGTGAGACTTGCGAGAGGTTAGGTGTGAGGTCCGTTCGTTGGTGTGCCCCTTAAGGGCGTCAACTTCTGTAAATAGAGGTATTGCCTGCGTTATAAAAAAAAGGCATAGCAGGCCAATCGCGCTATTTATTATTTTGAACGATCCGCCAAAGTTCAATTATGGTTCGATTTTAGTCTAATTCAAATTGCACATCAACTTTGTACGAAGTCAATATCGTGCTAATTTTCAACTGTCAACTGAAATCTTCTTTATGTTCTTGACTGAAGTTCACTGAAGTACGGTCCGATCGTGATACTATTGGATGGTTGACCGAAAATTTACTATCTCGAGCTCCTCCGTGCTTCGGAAGGCACGTTAAGCCGTTGGTCCCGGCTGCATCTGCAGTCGTTAGCACCCACCAACCCGCACTGGGCCCGCGTGGTGGGTCATGGCCCAATCTCCCTATTCCATCTATAGGGAAGGCCTGTGACCCAGCAGTGGGGACATTAATAGGCTGATGATGATGATGATGATGATGTGATACGTTTACATCTCAATTAACTGTCAAAACTTTAGCACGATACGAAATATCATAAAAAGTTGCTGTTGGCTTACGGTTCAGTGCCTTTCAGTCGTTTCATATTTACCAAAGATGTTTAGTATATAAATCTATTTTAGAACCTAGCATACAATAAGTTAAAGCCCTTTAATGTTTTTTTATTCGATAAACTTTCTCTTTGTTATGTTTAAGGTGGTTAATGAAAAATGGTGGCTCCATGAGGGAAGTAGATTACCCGTACAAGTCGCAAGAAGGGAAATGTGCACATGATGAGTCTAAAGTTGCGGTTAATGTGACAGGTTGCACACAATACATTGATAAGACTGAAGACGAACTGAAGCAGATTTTGGCAAATGTCGGACCTCTCGCTATTGGTCAGTAAGATTTTTTATTCGAATTTACTAGCTTCAACATGGAAATTAATAATATATTGCCATATTCGGCAACTAAAACACAACAAAAACCAAAATCAATATCGCCCAGGTGGGATGGTGGACATAAATTAAATAAGTAATGAATATTTCCAACACACAGCAATTAGCCTAACCCCAAATTAAGCACTGAAGGCTTGTGTTGTGGGATGCTAGGGTAACGGAATGAAGACATAAACTGAAACATATTAAGTATCATCATCATCATCATCAACAGCCCATCTTAGTCCACTGCTGGACATAGGCCTCTCCAAATGCACGCCACTCAGATCGATCTTGGGCTACTCGCATCCAGCTCCTGCCAGCCACCTTGCGCAAATCGTCACTCCATCGCGCCTGAGGACGTCCTACACTACGTTTGCCTAGACGCAAATAAATAAGTATATTTATAAAGATATACATGTCGCAGTGTAATTTTTTTTTGAGTGTGTATGCTGTTGGTCGCAGATGACCTTTACAGCGTCACCGGGTTTGGGACGTCGAGTGTACTTTTATTATGATTCTTTACGCTTGGGTGTAATCGAAGTGCGGCATGACAGCGACTGAACAAACGAATGGAAATATGGTACTATGTTCGATCGATTCGATCGATCGTTGCCAGGTCTCGCGATATTACAGGAGATCTCCTGTTTTTCTGAAATTTCTCCTATTTTTCTACATGAATCAACTGCTCTTCTTAGAATACGATTTTCTTTTTAAATTGCATGTTGAGTTGCATTTTCCGCCATGCAAATCGGAAAATTTACGTCTCTTACTGCTTTTCTTGTAGCTCTTTCCAAACATCTACTGGTTTTTTCTGTAACGCCTCCCGATTTTTATAAATCTGACCAGGCAACACTGGGTCGGGCAGAGTAGCTTGAGCCACGAAATGAACGCACACGGGTGTCGCACGCGCATTCCGACAATACCTACGTCCAATCAATATTGTGTACGAATATTTTAATTAAAAGTAATTAAGAGATCTGCCGCCCACGACGAACGACGAAGATGTTATTAACGGGGAACGACAGGATACGCAATCCTATCCGTCATACATATTTAACATCCATGACTGTAGTAAAAATGCTCGTAGTCATGAACCAAACCACTGCTTCTACTGGGATTTGAACCCCGAACCTCTCGAGTAGGCGACAACTTGAAACCCGGCGTACAAACCACTCGGCCACGGAGGTACTCAAACATGAACACAATCTCAATTAAAAAATAATCCTTAGTCTCTATTTACGTTTTTAAATTTATATTTTCTCCAGAATATTTTATCGTATCTCAAGAATGGATCATGCATTTAATCGTTATAATATGCACAGACATTACTTAGCCAGACAAATTAAATGAAATATTAAATTAAAGAGTAATATTTGTTATATACAGCTGTCGTCGGTAACACATTCAATTGTTACACGAATGGTATTCACGAATGCGATACATCAGAGGATGAAATCAATCATGCAGTACTCTTAGTGGGATATGGCGAAGGTACGTTTGACAAATTTAAGAAGCTAAATACTTTCTATATACCTTAAATTGCACAATTTAGAATAGTGGACGATTGTTATTACAATTTGCTGCAACTTCAGAAAAGATGGCGCTACCTTGCAGCTTCAGAAAAAGTAGAGTAAAATTCAACATAATAAAGGTAGCATAGAGGTTAGTGCATCCGGTTCGAATCCCATCGATTTTTTCTAGTAATCTATATATTCATACAGTTAAAACCAATGATCAGGTTGCGCACTCAAATATAGTTAATATGATCTCTAATATGATATCTGCTAAAAACAATTTTCCAAAATCTTTCTTTTTTCTTACATTTTCAAATTTTAAATTCAATTAAAACCATAAGTGTCGCCGCACACGGGCTACCGACCACAACCATAAAACGCCGCCACCGGCATATTTCTTGTAGTTTTCATACATTTTATATGGACTCGTCACACACGGTACGCCGGTGGCCGCCACATGCTACAAATCGTCGTTGCTCGCTTCTTGTGGCCCGCTCCGGCCATTTAATGCGTCGATACAAAACGCCCCCACCCGTCTCTCCCTTACTTTAGTCGGCCGCTGTCGCGCGCTTCAGCCACTTTAGTAGCCGCTTCTGGCTTCTCGTGGCGGCGTTTGTGGCTGTGGCGTGTGGCCCTAAACGAACATTTTTAAATTAGTGGTGGCAAACTGAATAAAGGAGGAAATAAACAAAGTAGACATTTGTAGCCGCAACCATACCATAACAGGATGCCATTCGCCTAACGGAAATGCTATCAAAAACGCTAACGCTTTCGATTTTATTTTGTTATTTCTGACCGCCGAAGGTTTTTAAATACCTCACGCTATTTTTTGTTAATATTGTTATTACCAATGCAAAAGAAAAAAAAAGAGCGCAAGGCATTTGAAAACAGGCTGCTAGAAATAACAAAATGAAATCGTAAGCGTTAGCGTTTTCCAAAGCATTTCCTTTAGGCGAATAGCCCCCAGCGCGAAAATAACTGGTATAGCAAGCATCAGGTTGTGGTGACCACTTAGAAACGAACCAGCATTTGGCATATGCTGATTTGTCTCCTTGTTGACATAAAATAATATTATGTTTATGTAATTCCAGAGAACGGCACCCCGTACTGGATAGTCAAGAACTCGTGGGGTACGGGGTGGGGCGAAGAGGGGTACATCCGTTTGCCCATGTACAAGAATGCTTGCCGCTTGCGCGAGAATGTCTTTTCCGGCATTGTTGAATAGTTTGCTCCGCTGAAGATCGACCATTATTTTAAGTGTTGTTAGAAAATAAAGTATGTCGGTTAAAACTTCTTGCCTTTTTTTTAATAATTGACTTTACGACCTCCGTGGTCGAGTGGTTTGTACGCCGGGTTTCATGGTGTCGCCGCCGTCCCGGGTTCGAATCCCGGTGGGGGCAGATGTTTGTGTGATGAACACGAGCATTTGTACTCCAGTCATGGATGTTTAATATGTATTTCTATATATACTTATATATGTAAAGTATATGTATTCTATCCGTTACCCTAGTAACCCGTAACACAAGCCTTTCAGTGCTTACTTTGGGGCTAGGCTAATTGGTGTGAGTGTTGGAAATATTTATTTATTTATTTATTATTATTATTTACAGGTTGTTACATACTTATTTTGAATTTTATGTCAAAGTATCTAGTTTTAATTTATACATTTAGTAATTTAAACACTGTTTTAGGCGGTTTTGATTGAAATTACTTGAGATTTAAATTCAACGGGCCCGAAACGTGTGTATATAATGTGTAAAAATAGTTTGACCAGATGCGTAATGATACCGTTTTGTTCGCCAGCTCAACATTTGTCTTTTTATATAATTAACCATCAATGCTTTGTATACGGCTAAATCTTCAGCTGAAAATCAGTGTGATGGCACATGTGGTCACGAATCATACTGAGCAGCGGCCTGTTTGGTACAAAATCTCTGTATAAGGTCTGTCTGTTCTATAGATCGTAAACGGAATAAGTAACAGAACAAACTTTTTGGTATTTTATGCTTGCCCAAAGTCGAATATTTAAAAATTCAATTAAATTATTTTTCGGAGGAGGTCCCATACATAAAAGGGTGGCGTTTTTTTTTTCTTTTTTAGAGCTCGTTGAGTAGCACTTAAATATTTATTCTATTTATATTTAATAACAAAGAAGGGGGGAGGAGGCGACGAAGTTGTAATTTTTAGACCAATTTTATTACAAGGTCTATCTTAAAATTAGAACTAGTAAGGAATGTGAAATTTTGTATATGATGTCACATATGCTGTATTTAAACAAAAAAAACTAAAAAAGACGGTTCATGATGTACTTTGAAAGTTGTAACGAAAACGTTAGTAGGATTTTTTTAAATTTATTTATTTATAATCAGGCTACATAAGCCCATAGATAAATACCTTATAGTATAACATAAATACAGATATAAAAAAATGTTGTTAGTAAATAAAATTATTAACTATGTTAGTAAACACCAAATTAACACGTATAGACGGCGACGTGTGACGCGAAGTGGTATCAGGTACCGGCCTCGGAACCGCCCGAAAACTACACCTTTCGGCCAAAGATCTTCCTTCATGAAAGTCGCCAGATGTTCAGTCGGCACCCTCACCACAAACGAATTAAAATTCACATTGTGACGGGACTCCAACCGTGCGACTCTCAGGGAGAACTTGGTCTTTATCCGCAGGTACTCCACGATCTCCTCTTCCTTCGTAGAGTAATGCATGAGTCGGTATTGCAGGACGCAGCAGGTGGTTCGGTCCAGTCGGGGCAACACCACGCAAATTGCGGCGAGCGGGCTTCTTCTTCTACCTTTCCACCTTGATGAAGCCCTCTTCGTCGCAAATCTGATTTTGTAATGCAGCCGGAGTAGCACGTTAGACACAGGGATTGCTACTCTTCTCTTTTGCTTGAACATCGACATCGACAAAAATAGTGCACGATTCAGAACAACTTTCAATAAGTCAATTCGAATAAAGTATAATTTCATTTCATTTCATTTTAGTGGTACGAGTAACGAGCGGAATAAAAGACTTCGTTGGAGAGCAGACCGATATGTCTGCCAATAACATCTTACTCGGAATTACTTCAGTTACTTCGTAACCATGGTACTTGCAACTGTGCCAAAATATCGAGGAACTCGCAAAAATCAAGGTAAGCAAAAAAGACAGCAATTCCAAAACAAAAACATAATGACTTTTTTATTTTTATTTGGAAGGCAAACGAGTACACTATCTGCACAATACATACAAGAGCAGTACTCCGACTTCATACCCGAATCGACGCACGCACACAGACAAACGTCATTTACACGGCCGCTAACCAATCTTGCCAAGACAAATCTACGCAGTGCCACGTCGCGCGCCGCCGAGACTGGTCGTTGGCCAAGTTAAGTTAGCTGCGCCGCGCCGCCCGCGCCGTCTGCGTCCGTTTCGATTGCGTAACGTGGCAATAGTAACTATACACATACAATAAAAATCTACACAAATATATTTTACATTTTGTAGGTAGCAACCCCAGCGCTCCGCTCGCGCTCGGTCGTAGGTATCTATTTCAAGAAAACGACTGAGTTACGCTACTGCTCTAGTATGTATTGTGCTATCTACCAGTTGGTAAGCGGTCGTCCATGGCCCTCGAAACACAAGCAACCAGAAGCATCACATGCGCGATGCCGACCTTTTAAAAAGAGAGTAAAACACAAAGAACACGTCTTGTGCTTTTCAAACTAGATACTTTGACATAAAATTCAAAATAAGTATGTAACAACCTGTAAAGTCAATTATTAAAAAAAAGTCAAGAAGTTTTAACCGACATACTTTATTTTATAACAACACTTAAAAGAATTGTCGATCTTCAGCGGAACAAACTATTCGACAATGCCGGAAAAAACACTGTCGCGCAAGCGGCAGGCATTCTTGTACATGGGCAAACGGATGTACCCCTCTTCGCCCCACCCCGTACCCCACGAGTTCTTGACTATCCAGTACGGGGTGCCGTTCTCTGGAATTACATAAACATAATATTATTTTATGTCAACAAGGACACAAATTTGCGGCACTGCATAGTAACGTTAATATAAACTAGATGGCATCGGCATCTAATAACGGCATGGGGCATCCAGTCGCATCGGATGCGCGCATCCAAACCTGGCATCGTTATCGCGCATCGTTATTCTAAAAACGCCCACTCCTATGCCAAATGCTGGTTCGTTTCTAAGTGGTCACCACAACCTGATGCTTGCTATACCAGATAACATTCGCGCTGTTATGGTATGGTTGCGGCTACAAAGTCTACTTTGTTTATTTCTGCCTTTATTCAGTTTGCCACCACTAATTTAAAAATGTTCGTTTAGGGCCACACGCCACAGCCACAAACGCCGCCACGAGAAGCCAGAAGTGGCTACTAAAGTGGCTGAAGCGCGCGACAGCGGCCGAATGGAGAGACGGGTGGAGGCGTTTTGTATCGGCGCATTAAGTGGCCGGAGCGGACCACAAGAAGCGAGCAACGACGATTTGTAGCGTGTGGCCGCCCCCGGTGTACCGTGTGTGACGAGTCCATATAAAATGTATGAAAATGCAAGAAAAACGAAAGTTTTGGATATTTGTGTTTAGCAGATGTCATATTAGAGACATCATATTAACTATATCTGCGTGCGCAACCTGATCATTGATTTGAGCTCTATGATTATATAGATTACTAGAAAAAGCCGATGGGACTCGAACCGGATGCACTCAACTGACCTCTATGCTACCTTTATTATGTTGAATTTTACTCTAATTTTTCTTAAGCTGCAAGGTAGCGTCATCTGTTCTCAAGTTGAAGCATATTGTAATAACAATCGTCCACTATTCTAAATTGTGCAATTTAAGGTATTTAGAAAGTATTTAGCTTCTTAAATTTGTCAAACGTACCTTCGCCATATCCCACTAAGAGTACTGCATGATTGATTTCATTGTATGATGGATCGCATTCGTGAATACCATTCTTGTAACCTTGGAATGTATTAGAGACGACAGCTGTATATAACAAATATTACTCTTTAGTCATGCTTTGTCATTGAATTTAATATTTCTATTCTAAGAAAAACAGTAGATTCATGTAGAAAAACAGAAGAACAGGAAAATTTTCAGAAAAACAGGAGATCTTCTGTAATATCGGGAGACCTGGCAACGATCGATCGAATCGATCGAACATGGTACCATATTTCCATTCGTTTGTTCAGTCGCTGTCATGCCGCACTTCGATTACACCCAAGCGTAAAGAATCATAATAAAAGTACACTCGACGTCCCAAACCCGATGACGCTGTAAAGGTTATCTGCGACCAACAGCATACACACTCAAAAAAAATTACAGTGTGACATGTATTTCTTTATAAATATACTTATTTATTTGCGTCTAGGCAAACGTAGTGTAGGACGTCCTCAGGCGCGATGGAGTGACGATTTGCGCAAGGTGGCTGGCAGGAGCTGGATGCGAGTAGCCCAAGATCGATCTGAGTGGCGTGCGTTTGGAGAGGCCTATGTCCAGCAGAGGACTAAGATGGGCTGTTGTTGATGATGATGATGATACTTAATATGTATCAGTTTATATCTTCCATCAGTTACTCTAGCATCCCACAACACAAGCCTACAGTGCTTACTTTGGGGTTAGGCTAATTGCTGTGTGTTGGAAATATTTAATATTTATTTAATTTATGTCCACCATCCCACCTGAGCGATATTGATTTTGGTTTTTGTTGTGTTTTAGTTGCCGAATATGGTAATATATTATTAATTTCCATGTTGAAGCTAGTAAATTCGATAAAAAAATCTTACTGACCAATACCGAGAGGTCCGACATTTGCCAAAATTTGCTTCAGTTCGTCTTCAGTCTTATCAATGTATTGTGCGCAACCTGTCACATTTACCACAACTTTAGACTTATCATTTGCACATTTCCCTTCTTGCGCCTTGTACGGGTAATCTGCTTCCGTCATGGAGCCACCATTTTGCATTAACCACCTTAAATATAACAAAGAGAACGTTTATCGAATAAAAAATCATTAAAGGGCTTTAACTTATTGTATGCTAGGTACTAAAATAGATTTATATCACCACCACCACCATCACCATCAGCCTATTAATGTCCCCACTGCTGGGGCACAGCCCTTCCCTATGGATGGAATAGGGAGATTGGGCCATGGCCCACCACGCGGGCCCAATGCGGATTGGCGGGTGCTAACGACTGCAGATGTAGCCGGGACCAACGGCTTAACGTGCCTTCCGAAGCACGGGGAAACGCGAGATAGAAGATTTTTGGTCACCCATCCAATGACCGACCACTGCGAAAGTTGCTTAAATTCAACGATCGCAGCCGAACGCGCTAACCACTTGCGCCATCGAGCTCCTCCGAGATTTATATACTAAACATCTTTGGTAAATATGAAACGACTGAAACGCACTGAACCGTAAGCCAACAGCAACTTTTTATGATATTTCGTATCGCGCTAAAGTTTTGACAGTTAGTTGAGATGTAAACGTATCACATCATCATCATCATCATCATCAGCCTATTAATGTCCCCACTGCTGGGGCACAGGCCTTCCCTATGGATGGAATAGGGAGATTGGGCCATGACCCACCACGCGGGCCCAGTGCGGGTTGGTGGGTTCTAACGACTGCAGATGCAGCCGGGGCCAACGGCTTAACGTGCCTTCCGAAGCACGGAGGAGCTCGAGATAGTAAATTTCCAGTCACCCATCCAATCGTATCACGATCGGACCGTACTTCAGTGAACTTCAGTCAAGAACTCAAAGTAGATTTCAGTTGACAGTTGAAAATTAGCACAATATTGACTTCGTACAAAGTTGATTTGCAATTAGAATTAGACTAAAATAGAACCATAATTTAACTTTGACGGATCGTTCAAAATAATAAATAGCGCGATTGGCCTGCTATGCCTCTATTTACAGACGTTGGCGCCCTTAAGGGGCATACCAACGAACGGACCTCACACCTGTCACGATTTTGTGCGACCTGAAGCCAAATTTTCCCTGCAGTGCTTTTCAGGTCATCGTCCCAACACATGTGAGGTCTTCCTGGAGGGCGTTATAACCCCATGTTCGCCACTCGTGGAGCCACTTGCTCCACGAATCAGTCTTGCATGCCACATGACCAACCAAAATATTGTGGATTCAATCATGATCTCGATATTTCTTCTTTCCCCTGTTAATGGTAAGAAAACAGAGTGCCCATTCTTAACACTCACATCATAGCTTTGTCATAAAAACCACCGCAACAACCACTATTTGTCTTGTCGCAGTCCACCAACTGTTGTTCGGATAACGAAACGAGGGTATTGTGTTTTATTGCGTACGCTCCTTCTAGAGTACCTGATAACAATTTTTTAAGAAATATATATATATATAAAGACACCATCGATACGAACTCAACTTTCTACGTGGAAACAGAGAATGGAATTTGGGAACTCAGATGACGATAAATATTGTATACTACTAGTGGGTGTCTGCGAGATATAAGAATAGAATACTCTTTATTTGCATTAAATAGGGTTGACTAAAGGTGTTCGCATATAAACTATATGTTAAGCTAAAGAACTTAAACTTATTTATCCATATTAATAGCATGACAAACAGTTCTAACATATGAAAAAACGTAACAGCCATATAACATTATTCAATCTATAAATAGACCCATAAACTTGCCTTTTGTAGCCCATTTAACTTGTTCTTAGTTAATGTTAATACGGGTCAAAGGATTTTTAAGATTATTAAAATTAATTATTTTGGTTATGTTAACATTAATTTGAAGATTATTATCATTTGGCCAGTCAATTCATTTCGATGTTGTTCTGTTGTGCTGCTTTTATTAGCAGAGACACTGAGACATCGTCAACGAATAAGGTAAATTAATTTGCTTGAACCATTGATACAAACTAGAAATAGCAATGACTCTAGTATACTCCCCTGTGGGACACCAGTATTTTTTTTCAGGACTGGATCTTTAGGCTTGTTTATTATGATGATCATCAATTTGTTCTATCTCAACAAATTGGACCCTATTCTCTACGTACGATTTAACCAGTCATGAACAGGACCTCTTATTCCGATCAACTGTAATTGTCGAGTAGTTTAGTTTTTTTGTTAAAAAAAGGTTTCCCATGCAAAATCCAGGATTCAAATTCTCTCTGTATTCAATTTCATCGTAATTAATTCGAAAGTGAATAAGGCTTTATTAATAAAAATGCTAACTTTGATACTCACCAGTAGTACCGAAGGCCCAGCAGGAGCCGCATTGACCTTGGTTCTTAATAGCTGTTACCTTGCCTTCCTTGCGCCAATCTAGAGATTCAGGAGCATGACCGGTAACATCTAACGGGTTTGATTCCTTGCAAACGGGGCCGGCACGTTGGGACGGCAACCTCAACCCAGTGTATTTACGGACGAATTCATCCACCGTCAAATCAGTGAAATGGTTTATTCCTGAGCACACAGAAACAGTGATTTCATTTATACCTGTTATGTAATCTAAATGTATGGGGAAATATCTTGATTAATGAAAATTTTTCTATTTTCTCTGGTTGACTCACTGTATCAATGCACAATTCAATGCAATTTATTTGCGTTAAATAGGGTATGTTTCTTAGTGTGTTATCTAAATTAAATTCTCTCAACCTTTTTAGTTATACTCACCGTACTCAGCTAAACTAGATTTGGCATTTCTCTCGTTGATTTTTTTCAGATTTTCTTTAAATACATTGAATCTGAAAGTTTTCTCTTCTTCATTGGAATAGTATTTATTAAAGTTAACAATGAATTCTTCAAATAAACTCTCAGCATCTTCAGGTGTAAAGAAAACCTTGTCTGCTTGAGATTGTACTGCAAGCAAAGAGACAAGAAGAAGAAAAAATGGTAACATATTCGATAAGTAACGACACTGAACGGTCCTTTGCTTCCAATGATGACCAAGACACTGTTCATTCATTTTTATAGCTAGAGTGTACTCGAAAATATGTTGAGCAGGTATGTATGAATACCGAACATTTTGCTTTTTATGCCGCTTATACGACTTTTAATGTTATCAGTTGGAATGTTTCTACAAGACCTTGGATTTGAAAAAAAACGGGTTGCACTCCGGGAGTGCCGGCAGAAGTGAAAACTTGAATAGTAACGTGCATTTTTGATATTTTGGAACGACCGCTTACCAATTGGTAGATAGCACAATACATACTAGAGCAGTAGCGTAACTCAGTCGTTTTCTTGAACTGCTGTCATTTTACCTTGATTTTGGCGAGTTGCTCGATATTTCGGCATAGTTGCCAGTACCATGGTTACGAAGTATCTGAAGTAATTGCGGGTAAGATGTTATTGGCAGACATATCGGTCTACTCCCCAACGAAGTCTTTTATTCCGCTCGTTACTCGTACCACTAAAATGAAATGAAATGAAATTATACTTTATTCGAATTGACTTATTGAAAGCTATTCTGAATCGTCCACAATTTTTTTCTACTAACGTTTTCGTTACAACTTTCAAAGCACATCATGAACCATCTTTTTTAGTTTTTGTGGTAATTAAAAAAGAAGGTCACGCTAAAATAACACTACCTTTTGGTGTTGTTGTGTATCTGTGAAATAATAATTAAAAAAGAAGGTCACGCTAAAATAACACTACCTTTTGGTGTTGTTGTGTATCTGTGAAATAATAAATTAAAAAAGAAGGTCACACTAAAATAACACTACCTTTTGGTGCTGTTGGCCTTTTGTTGTGTATCTGTCAGTGAGGTCCCAGGGCTACACGGGGTGGAGTAGGGGATTTGGTCAGAGTAGACGACGACGGCTCGAGTGATGTTTTTTTTTATCGCAAGCGTCTATCTATAGGTTATGGTGGCCGCTTACCATCGAGCGGGCCATATGCTTGTGCCACCCTTTTCAACACAGAAAGAGGTTAAAAGGCCCTTGTGGGCGGGGAAGGCGCGCCACAGTTATGTAGGAGCAAATGCTCATAACTTGATCAAAACTTGGTTCTGATTGCGTCGTTGCTCTCGGGTGTGAGCGCTGATTGGTTCAATTTTTTGATGTCGCGTCTTTTGATTGGCTATTATCTGTTAGGTAGAAGTGTAGTGGGGGCGAGCCAGTGACATCGGTTCCCGAACAAACGGTCTTTGATCACCCTACTTACCTCTTCCTGTGTTCTGTGCTTTTCACATAAGAAAATGACACTTAGCGATCCCGTAGCAGGTTGACCGACGGTCTGGTGAAGTCGCGGGAAGGCGTCGAGTAGATGAAAATGATACTCAGCAATCCCTTAGCAGGTTGACCGACGGTCTGGTGAAGTCGCGGGAAGGCGTCGAGTAGATGAAAATGATACTCAGCAATCCCTTAGCAGGTTGACCGACGGTCTGGTGAAGTCGCGGGAAGGCGTCGAGTAGATGAAAATGATACTCAGCAATCCCTTAGCAGGTTGACCGACGGTCTGGTGAAGTCGCGGGAAGGCGTCGAGTAGATGAAAATGACACTCAGCAATCGCTTAGCAGGTTGACCGACGGTCTGGTGAAGTCGCGGCAAGGCGTCGAGTAGATGAAAATGACACTCAGCGATCCCGTAGCAGGTTGACTGGTGAAGTCGCGGGAAGGCGTCGAGTAGATGAAAATGATACCTATATTCTAAGGCTCGTATTACAGAATGACAATTGAGTGTTGATCTTTACTTGAGTACAGTAAGAGAGGGGGAAGTAAGAAAGGGATGTGGCTATGTGCTATATATAGAGGCATCCCTTTCTAACTATGCTCAAGACTAGATCAATCACTGAGAATCTTTCTATTATACGGGCCTTAGTTCTCTTGGATACCATAAAACGTTTTCGGCTAAGACAATCCTTAAGTATAATTTTTATTATTTTTAAAGCATGTAACTGCAACAAACACTGTACAAATTATAACTATAATTGCTATTTCTTCTTTCAAATGTTTAATACTTGTAAAAGTATTCATTTGACATTGTGGGTTTACCTATAATGCGAAGAGATGGCGCTGCCTTGCAGCTTAAGAATAGCTAGAAGGAATTTCGACGCGGTCCGTGAGGGCCGCGGTAGCATAATTGGTCAGTGCATTCGCCCGGATTGCGAAGGGTGCGGGTTCGAGTCCCGTCTGCTGCCTGGCCCGCGTGGAATTTTTTCTAGTTATATTTTCTTTAGATTTAATCCTTAAGTATTTTTTTAATTTTATACAGAGTAGGAACGCAACAAAAACAGTTTTGTAATAATATCGTAGGAGTCGCAGAAAGGGTTGCTAACCGTAAAAGAATTCTCGTACAAATACGAGACTTCTGGTCTTCCGTGCGAGGTACGAGACAACTGCACATCTCGTACAATTACGTTCGAGATTTTGTCAGATATTTTTTTATAACATGATTTTTCATTGTTGGCAACATGTTGAAGCACCGTTAGTATCGAAACTAATCTATGTTTATTATAATTTTTTTTTAGGAATAACTGCTAGATGTTTGAATCTAAAGAAAATTTTACTGGAATACATTTCTTTACAGTTTATGGTTAGTTCATAATCATAATCAAAATCATTTATTCGGTTTAGGCTGTTACAAGCACTTATTAATGTCTAGAAGCTACGCCATCGGTTCGTAAATCTACGGCGGGAGACCTTGTACTGAGAAGAACCGGGAAGAAACTCAGCAAGGGCTGTTTTTTTCTCCCTATTTTGTCATTAACAGAGTCGTCAAGTTGAAAAATGACTTCAGAGATGATTCATGAAAACACCTTTCATCATAATGTGAAATTATACATTATGTAATTGTTCACTTGCATTTTGATTGCTGTGTCACACAATATAAATCCATATAGAGTTATTTATAATAGGTGTAATTAAACATTTACATCTTAAATATCAAAGTAGTTAGGGCAGACTCATCTCCGCTGGCAGCACCCGTTCACGAGCATGACGCATGAACCAGCCATCGCTTCGCTCAACCATATTTTATTCTTTCGCAAATCGTGTACGAGGTTCGAAAGCCAGATTAAGAGATTTTTAGCTGCATCAGTACGAGGCGCTCGATGGCGCAAGTGGTAAGCACGTTCGGCTGTGATCGTTGGAGTTAAGCAACTTTTGCAGTTGTCGATCACTGGATGGGTGACCAAAAATTTACTATTGCGAGCTCCTCCATGTTTCGGAAGGCATGTTAAATCATTGGTCCCGGCTGCATGTGCAGTCGTTAGCACCCACTAATACACACTAGGCCCGCGTGGAGGGTTATGGCCCAATATCCCTATTTCATCCATAGCGAAGGCCTGCGCCCCAGCAGTGGGGACATTAATAGACTGATGATGATGCTGATGAAGTACGAGGAAAAAAATCTACGCAACCCTTTTTGCAGGATTGCTATTTAATATAGTATCCTTAACTACCCTGATGCCCTGATGCAGTAGTTGTAGATATGGTGAAGAAAGTTCCCCTAGGTTATGAGTATGTTATATGTAACACATGTTTATTTTATGGCGTCGTGTTAGGAAGTGCTCAAAATTACAGTAGCATTATTCATACATTCTGGTCCACTTGCAGCAATTATGCTAAATACCAATTTAAATTTAACTAGATTCATCCCATAAAATAATGTCAAATCGACATTGACGTTTGATATTTTTCTCTGGATTTAATCTTAGTTTTAGTTGAATCGAGATTGGACCTAAGTATGTATTATATGTGTCAGGCGTATGCTGCAGTCAATTGTTAAGTTTGTGTTAACGGCACAAATTAATTGGTTGAATTTGAATCTCAAACAATTTCCAATCAAAACCGCCTAAAACAGTGTTAAAATTACTGAATTTATAAATTAAAAACCATGCCAAAAGCTCACTGTAGGTATGTCATTCAATTTTATACAGCTCCTGAAAATTTTAATTTCATGTAATTATACCGTTTTACCGAGAAGAAGCAACATGCAGGCCGGCTAGGTGAGGATAGCTGGTGTGGCAGGTAGAACTGCTGTATCAGCTATCTTCACGTCTGGGCTTCACCGTCTAGTGACAGTTCACACGTCCAGGATTAACTTTAGTCTATATTTTGTAATGAGGCGGAAAAAGTTTAAACGTCAGTTTTAATAGTTACTTCAATATTGAAGCAAATACATAGCGGTTTTGACAGACTGTGCGTATCAAAATAAATCTATATAGGTATATAAAACTCAAAGGTGACTGACTGACATAGTGATCTATCAACGCACAGCCCAAACCACTGGACGGATCGGCCTGAAATTTGGCATGCAGGTAGATGTTATGACGTAGGCATCCGCTAAGAAAGGATTTTGATCAATTCTACCCTCAAGGGGATAAAAAAGGGAATGAAAGTTTGTATGAAACTTTGTCAATTTTAAACCGATCGGGCTGAGACTTTGCATGCAGGTATAAGAAGAATCATAGGTTAATGTCATTGTGTATAATACAAGCCTGAGAACAAAAACTGTAGTCTACACTTCAGCTCTACACCGAAGCGAAGCGAGGGGGCCGCTAGTGAATTATGAAACACAAAAGATACACGACGTGACTTTTGTAGGCGCAACGCCGGAGAAGATTTGTCAAATTCGAATAATAAGGATTTCATATAATTTTCCTTTCCTACGCCCTAGTTTAATTAAGGGTACGAAAATATGCTTTCAAAGCCTGAATTGTATCTGGAAATGTCTCGTCATAGAAATAAAATTCGATAAAAACTGAGTCAAGGACATTCTTTAATATAAAAAGTTGAAGGAGAATTGCCCACAGTAATACATTATGAAGGGAATTTTATTGTACTAATTGTATTATATTTGGCATATTTAAGATATCTCTCGACAAATTTCTTAGGAATACTATTTCTAAATTCAGGAAAAATAGAAACTGTTTTCGTGCTTATACTTGGCTATATTTGACATTGTTTAACTTTATTAGCATAAATTAATGGTTGGTGTCGCTGCGGTCGATGGAAAGGAGACCAATAATTTATCTAAGCTTGTTTAATGATAAATAAATTGTACTAGAAAAAAATCCACGCGGTTCAGTCAGCAGACGGGACACGAACCAGCACCCTTCGCTATCTGGGCGAATGCACTGACCATTACTCTACCGCGGCCCTGATGGCCGTGTCGAATTTTCTCTAGCCTTTTTAGGCTGCAAGGCAGCGGCCATTTCATCCCGTTGTAGGAAACACACAACGTCAAATCAATACCTTTACAAGCATTAAATATTTGAAATAAGAAATTGCAATTATAATTATTAGCACATCACATCAACATCTAGCAATTACATGTTTAAAAAAATAAAAATATTACTTAAACTTTTGAAGTTATATTCAGATAAACATAACATAACTAAATCTCGAAAAATCTCAAATCTATACACCTACCTTTTCTCGAAGCTCTTCGTCGTTATTTTGAACTCTTATAACTGTGGTTTAGATTCTACGGATAAGCACAATTGTTAGGACGGGTTAAGAGAGGACTCATTAAACGTAATTATAAAGTTTTAATCGCATAGCTCTTATATTTTAGATTTTTAATTATATCCAAAAACCCCTGATTTCATCACTCACTTCCTGATGATCATCAAAATTATTAGGGTATTTCCTAATGTCGTAGAAAGCTGAAATTTGGCATATAAGCTAGTATTAATACATTATCAACAAAAATATTATTATGTAACTTTCATCGCTAAACACCTTTAACTAGAGATAGATAGATAGATAGATAAATTCTTTATTGCACACACACAAAAGAATACAAAAATTAGGAAACAATAACATAATGTGGGCAAAGGCGGCCTTATCGCTTTAAGCGATCTCTTCCAGACAACCTTTGCGGTAAAGGATAACTAAATGAAGAGGAATTTGTAGTATGCCAGCAAGATAAAATAAAGAAATGTACATATTTTCTTAAACATATAAAGATTATATACAAATAATAGAGGATGAAAGTTTGTATGAGACTTCCGCAATTTTGATGCTATAGGTCTGAAAATTGATATTGTAGGAGTTTGAGTTTTTCCTTGTTATAAAAACTTACAAAAATATATGGAATTCCATAAAAATATTTTCATGTAAAATGTTGCCAAGACGAGGCAATATAACTCGCACTGTCAAAAAGGCATCAGACCTCATGTTCCTAGAGTCAAGCTTCTAACTTTGAATCTCGACCTCCGTGGCCCGTTGGTTTGTATGCCGGGTTTCATGGGGTCGCCGACTCGAGAGGTCTTTAATATGTATATCTATAAAAATATACTTATATATGTACAGTATATGTATTCTATCCGTTACCCTAGTATCCCATGACACAAGCCTTATAGGACAGATAGACTCACACCAATAAGCCAAGCCCCAAAGTAGTGCTTACTTTGGGGCTAGTTGATGTGAGTGTTGGAAATATTTATTATTTATTTAAATGCCCTCACTCTACAAGGTTAGGCCTTTACAAAAACTCTAACCCTTGGCAAAATATGGGGCTTGGCCATTGCGTTACTACAAGAACTATTGTATAACAGAAAATGAATGAACAGTGAATAAATTTTTCATCTTACGCCCATGTGAATGTAGCAAAATGGCTATGCCACATATTTTGACTTGACTCATTCCGTACCGTGAAATACGGCTAAACAGACAGACGACAGAGTGACAGCAATAGGGTTCCGTTTTTACCCTTATTTGGGTACGGAACCCTAAAAAACAAAGAAATAGGTACCAACGTTTTGAATTAAAACTTGGTAATGCAACTATTTCATTATAATTATGAAAGGTATTTAACAACTTCTAATAAAAACATAGCTATGCAAAGCATCGCTCATGATTTTAAAATATTTGAAATTTCGCCATAGGTTGAAGATATATATAAAGGGGCAAAAACTATGACATTTCACAAATATAGCAAAAAGTTCAAGATGATAAGTGTTCATAAAATCTTCTTGATATTTGTGGTCCTCTGCTCGTTAGGGGAGTTGGTACTGTCAGCACCACAGCCGGTTTTCTACAACATCGAAGATGCGGGCAATCTGTTCCAAGAATTCATGGTAAACTTCAACAAGCAATACGCTACACTAGAAGAGAAACAGAGAAGACTACAAGTTTTTACTAAAAACTTGGAGATCATCAACAGGAAAAATGCCGACGAAAATGAATCTGCTGTTTTTGGTATGCCACTTCATTACCATTTATACATATATATATAAACTAGCGGACCCGACAGACGTTGTCCTGTCTAGTATGGTAGCGCCGTCTGTCGGATCCAATGTAAAACATTCCAAAATCAACAACTACTAATAAATTAAAAATTAATTAAAAAAACATTGGCCAGCGGACAAAATTGTGAATCTAAACCATTCTATATCATCTCCCCTTGAACACATACAAAAAATTTCATCAAAATCGGTCCAGTCGTTTAAGAGAAGTTCAGTGACATACACACTCACAGAAGAATTATATATATATAAAGATATGGAATGATGAATGAAGTGTGTGGATGATAAAAATAATTCATAAAATGTTTTTGTTACAGGCGTTAATCAATTTTCGGATCTCTCGGATGAAGAATTTAAAGCTATTTATTTGAACTATTTGCCTTCTGAAAAGTCGCCATGCTCACAAATAAGTACAAATTACTCAGGCATACTCCTGCCCGACAATTTAGATTGGCGACAAAAAAATGTCGTTACCCGGGTCAAAAGTCAAGAAAGCTGTGGAGCTTGCTGGGCATTTGCTGCTGTGGGTAAGCAAACATCATAATCCAAATGAAAAGCTTCAGTAGATCTATTTTTCTGGGTTATGTATTATATTATCTGGTGTTTTTCAAAATCAGTGAGTTCATCAGGTAATGCTATGATTTGGGACCCTTTTTTTATGTCCGGAAAATGCATTATGCATCCGTCATCCACTGGAGGTGAGAAATGGTATCTGGGACTCCTCATTATGGCCAGCTCTGGGCTTCGATGAAATGAGCCCCTGCTCATGCCCCTAACCTAACCTAACGACCTAACAGGGCCAGTAAAAAGACAGTACTCCTGCACCGGTCATCTGACCCGCATTGCTAGGACCGCAGTACCTACAACGCACATCGGGAGTGCGGTGTGGTGTTGCGGCACCCGATTCGCAACTGGCCGTGCAATGAATTGGGGCCTAAGGTTAACTAAATGTCGTTTGACATTAGCCAACCCAAGTAGTAAACGGCACTCAGATCTATGAATATTCATGACACTGACTTCAAATGTATAAGTAAAGAAACCTTATGAACCTTATTTCCTACTTTTTAGTGATTTTGCTATTATGAAGGTGGTTTTTATTTTTGTTATAATAAGCCAGAGTAAAATTAAATAACTAAGTAGTTAGTACCTGTCCTTTATTATCCATTACAAATCTTACTTAAATTAACCAAACATGAATTGAGCACTGTTTGTAATGGAGGATATCCATTGTTTTCTCCATAAGTACTGACCAGATCTTCACCGAATTAATATAACATCATTTCGTCAAAAATCTGATTCAATCAAAAACAAAAAATCATCAAAATTGATCCACGCCTTTCGGAAATATGCGCGAACAACAATAAAAAATTGAATTGAAGAAGTATATTTGTTTCTTAGGTTTTCACGCACATCACTCATTAAATAAAACTAGTTTTAACGTGGTAATGCACGAACTTTATTTATTTATTGACGTTTCGCAGCCTTTTCAGGTCTGCATCGTCAGAATAATGATTTTTTATTTACTTTGTCGAGCTACCTTCGAAAGACTTTTATTGATTTGAGCGTTCGGATATTTCATTGGCAGATTTTTAAAACTTTATTGTCTATGTATGAATTTATTACTTAATTTAGTTAATTAAGTACTTTATTTAAAATGATTTTTTGTAATTTTGAGTTTATTTATTTGACCCTAACTACCGTAAACTACCACCGGTTCCAAAATTGGGAGACCTTTCTGAGAAGAACCGGCGTAACAAACTCAGAGAGGCTTCCTATCGATTTATAGACATTTCGATTTTACAGCATTAACCCGTTAAAACTAGTTTTATTGAAGATGCATTTTTGCAAGCCGGCAAGGTGAGGATGGTTGGTGAGGCAGTTTGTAACTGCTGTACCAGCCATCTTCGGGTTTGGTTTGTTGTTCTTTATCACCACTTAACATCAGGTGGGGTAGAGTCATTTGTCTACCCGGCTATACAGGGTGTTACAAAAATACAAATAAAGCTTGAAGGGCGTTGAAGTACATCATATAAGGAGTGTTCTCTTTGCAAGAAGTTTGAACTTTATAACTTTACTTAATAAAAATATCGATCATTTTAAGCCACGTCACTAGTTCGAGGTCATGCACCTTACCAGGAGTAGTAATTAATCTGCTGTAATAAAGAAAATTAGAGAAGATTCCTTATATGATGTACTTTAACGCCCTTCAAGATTTATTTGTATTTTTGTAACACCCTGTATAAATATATATACTAAAAAATTTAGAACCTTCTCCTTTTTTATTATCATCAACAACGTCTTTGGTCACAATAATAGCTCATAAGATGTCTTTTTGCTGACCGATATTCAAATTTAGGACCCATTAGAACCCATATCAAAGAACGTAACTGCATTCGTCCGTGACTCCACTTTAGGATGAAGTTAAGAGAGAAATGGGACACAACTTAAAGGATTTCTGAAATGGCTCCGTCAATTTAATTAGATTATTGATAATACGTACTTTTATGAACGCATATGAAAGTCAAAGCTACAGTTTACTGTGATTTTATGATATAATTTTTCAGGAAACATCGAGTCAATGAACGCAATAAAGAATGGTCAATTGTTAGAGTTTTCTGAGCAACAGCTTGTGGACTGCACCAGTGACAAATTCGACTGTCGTCATGGAGGCAGAGCTGACACGGGCATCATGTAAGATGAAGTAGTACAGTCAAAACACATTTATTTTTCTTAGCCTTTTTACGTATCATAGCAACATCGTCATCATCATCATCAGTCTATTAATGTCCCTACTGCTAGGAGCACAGGCCTTCCCTATGGATGGAATAGGGAGATTGGGCCAGGATCCACCACGCGGGCTGAGTGCGGATTGGTGGGTGCTTACGACTGCAGATGCAGCCGGGACCAACGGGTTAACGTGCCTTCCGAAGTACGAAGGAGCTCGAGATAGTAATTTTTGGTCACCCATCCAATGACCGACCACTGCGAAACTTGCTTAAGTTCAACGATCGCAGCCGAACGCGCTAATCACTTGCGCCATCGAGCTCCTCCTCGACTTATAGTATACAATGGACTTTCCTGTCATTTGCTGAATTTGTCGCATCTTTGATACTCTGTTAACGCAAGAGACAGATTGATGGTCACACTCACTCAGAGCGGATTAGGCTTGTTGAAAATATATCGATGTATCGATATATCGATATTTTTAGCCGATATATTTTGATTCGATATATCATCAGAAATCAGAAAACACGTATGAACTTGTCCACACACTGCCGTCGCCGTCGCACCGTACACGAGCTCAGTTCAGTTGTCTGTCATCAATTATCATAATATAACATTGTAATAAAAATTCTTTGCATCGTCTGATCCTTCGAAGGTACAAAAGCAGGAGAAGAAGTTGTCGCCGGTTTAACCTAGCCATGACTTTATTTCTTCGAAAACGCGACTACCACGCATGACAGTTGGAACAAACTAAACCATCGGTCGCGGTGGACAAACGATCGCCGTCACGTCATATTAAACTCGGCCCGAAATAATCTCGTTCTCGGTGACGTGACGGTGACGGCGGCGGTGGACAAACGGCCTAAGTATGTACACTCCAAACATTAACGTCGAATATTCAGTATACAAAATAGGTGCTCAATTAAAGAAAATGATCATTAAATAAAAAAAAATGTGTGTGTCAGCTCCGACGCACGACCGGAGTTTACACTCTAAAAACGATTGTCTTTGAACAGACACAAAACAAAATCAAGTCCGAAGAAGTCGGTTACAAGTAGAGATACCTCAGGAATCGTCCCATGGTTTCGACTATCATAGGTTCCATGTCACACATTTTATCATCTAACATCATCGATATTCATCATATATTTTATTATGTATTTCTGGAAACGCACAATTTCAAAAATATCACACACTAGTCATCATTTTGTAAATATGTATTATAATTCCATCTGTACTGAAAATCACTATTCCAGAGTGTTGGACACTTACCGGCATTTCTCTATATTCTGTTATTTATTTGTTTTCATTAATTTTGCTCCGATTTTATCTATTTTTAGTTTATTTATTTTGTTGACATTTGTGACAACTTATTTTTTTTTATCCGTTGCCATGGGTAAAACTGAAAGGTGCGCAGATGAGGTTGCGCACAAAAATGTAACGAGGTCATTAATGTCATTCATCGATAGATTTTACAAATCGATTCTTAAGGAGTAAACTCCAACTAGTTTTAACGGGTTAATGCACGAAACTTTATTTATTTATTGAAGTATCGCAGCCTTTACAGGTCTGCATCGTCAGAAGATGATTTTTTATTTAATTTTGTCGAGCTACCTTCGAAAGACTATTATTGAGCGTTCGGTTATTTCATTGGAAGATTTTTAAAATTTTATTAGCTTTGTATGAATTTATTGATTAATTTAGTTAATAAAGTACTGCATTTATGATATATATGATAATTATAATTTCGCCATTAGTTGAATTTTCTATACAGACGCTTGTATGTAGTTTATTTTTTTTGAATAGGCATTGTGACACTGCATGTCGGCATTTTTTTCCGCAACCTAATTTGTATCAATTTCATGACATATTGCATCATACAATTATTTTTCAAATTCAAGATTTTACGTATTTACGCTCGCATTAGTGCGACACAGTATATCACAATATATATGTATATATATATATATTTAGCATTTATTTAGCATCAGCCAGCATCGCATTAGACATTCATGAAAGCATTTAACAGCCTAAACTGAATCAATAAATAAATAACTGAATAATAAATAAATAAATTTTTCCAACACTCCAACAAATTTGTCGACCCCCGAAGGAAGCACTAGGTTTGTGTTATGGGATACTAGGGTAACAAATAGAATACATATACTGTACATATATAAGTATATTTATATAGACATACATATTAAACATCCATGACTGAAGTACAAATGCTCGTATTCACCACACAAACATCTGCCCCACCGGGATTCAAACCCGGGACCTCTCGAGTAGGCGACACCATGAAACCCGGCGTATAAACCACTCGGTCACGGAGGTCGTCAAAGCATAGAACTCAAGAATTTCGAGATTTTTGGTAACCCATCCAATGATCCATGACTTCAACGATCGCAGCCGAACGCGCTAACCACTTGAGCCATCATGCTCGTCATAGCAACATAAGCTGAGTACTAGTGGCCAACATCAATTTTTATTTTATTTAATAACTAGCTGACCCAGCGAACTTCGTACCGCCATAAAAAAATTAATTAAAAAAACATTGTCCAGCGGACAAAATTGTGAATCTAAACCATTCTCAGATCCCATTTGATCAAAATCGGTCCAGTCGTTTAAGAGAAGTTCAGTGACATACACACTCACAGAAGAATTATATATATAAAGATTTAATAATAATAATAATCAAACCCATTCTGGCTCTAATTATTTTTTATGTTTAAAGCGTGGTTCAAAAAAAAACAAAATGAGTTTCAAACCCGCACCCTTCGCAATCCGGGGGAATGCACAGACCAATAATGCTACCGCGGCCCTCACGGACCGCGTCGAAATTCTTCTAGCCATTCTTAAGCTGCAATGCAGCGCCATCTCTTTGCATTATAGGGTAACCCACAATATCAAATGAATACTTTTACAAGTATTAAACATTTGAAAGAAGAAATAGCAATTATAGTTATAATTTTTATTATTTTAAAGCATGTAACTACTTGATGTTCATACATATACATGCCTTGCAGCTTAAGAATGGCTAGAAAAATTTCGACGCGGTCCGTGAGGGCCGCGGTAGCATAATTGGTCAGTGCATTCGCCCCGATTGCGAAGGGTGCGGGTTCGAGTCCCGTCTGCTGCCTGATCCGCGTGGAATTTTTTCTAGTTATATTTTCTTTAGATTTAAACATCAAGCAGTTACATGCTTTAAAATAATAAAAATTATAAATGAGTTTCATTTAAGTGTAGGGAAACAACCTTCACTATATAACCCCCAAGACACTACCTTAATCAAGTCTACTCATAATCCGCTCTAGGGATGTCGAAAGTTGAAAAAAATATCGATACATCGATATTTAAAATAATATCAATATCGGCTTCGATATATCGCGAAAAAAACATCGATATATCGATATATCGGAGCAATTTTCCCAAAAATATATTTAGGTCAGCCTAGCACATACAAATTATAATTAAAGAAAGAATTATCAAAGTACCAAATTGCCGCTACACTACATGACAGTACAGTATCTCACGAAAGATGACACGCGGAATAATAATGGAACGAAAATTATCTCCCTAAAAATAGAGCCTATTTTCGAATGATGAAAATGATTGCAGGGCCTAGACAGTCACACACTTCCACAGAATATAATGGAATTCAACATAACCAATTCACCAGCGAAACAGATTTACAAATCATAGACAATACTAAATACAGCACAGATCATAGATATGTTGAATATCATTAATCTGAGATCCAGTTACGATTTTTCCAGATACGAATTTAGTTAGGTCGTGATATGCCGCTAATAATTAAAAAAATATCGTTTTTGATACGTATTTCGATATTGGTTATTTTGTATTGATGTATCGATATATCGATATTTTTAGCCGATATATTTTGATTCGATATATCGATAAATGACACAGGACAATGTTTTTTTAATTAATTTTTTTTATGGCGGTACGAAGTTCGCTGGGTCAGCTAGTTATTAAATAAAATAAAAATTGATGTTGGCCACTAGTACTCAGCTTATGTTGCTATGACGAGCATGATGGCTCAAGTGGTTAGCGCGTTCGGCTGCGATCGTTGAAGTCATGGATCATTGGATGGGTTACCAAAAATCTCGAAATTCTTGAGTTCTATGCTTTGACGACCTCCGTGACCGAGTGGTTTATACGCCGGGTTTCATGGTGTCGCCTACTCGAGAGGTCCCGGGTTTGAATCCCGGTGGGGCAGATGTTTGTGTGGTGAATACGAGCATTTGTACTTCAGTCATGGATGTTTAATATGTATTTCTATATAAATATACTTATATATGTACAGTATATGTATTCTATTTGTTACCCTAGTATCCCATAACACAAACCTAGTGCTTCCTTCGGGGGTCGACAAATTTGTTGGAGTGTTGGAAAAATTTATTTATTTATTATTCAGTTATTTATTTATTGATTCAGTTTAGGCTGTTAAATGCTTTCATGAATGTCTAATGCGATGCTGGCTGATGCTAAATAAATGCTAAATATATATATATATATATATATATATACATATATATTGTGATATACTGTGTCGCACTAATGCGAGCGTAAATAAGTAAAATCTTGAATTTGAAAAATAATTGTATGATGCAATATGTCATGAAATTGATACAAATTAGGTTGCGGAAAAAAATGCCGACATGCAGTGTCACAATGCCTATTCAAAAAAAATAAACTACATACAAGCGTCTGTATAGAAAATTCAACTAATGGCGAAATTATAATTATCATATATATCATAAATGCAGTACTTTATTAACTAAATTAATCAATAAATTCATACAAAGCTAATAAAATTTTAAAAATCTTCCAATGAAATAACCGAACGCTCAATAATAGTCTTTCGAAGGTAGCTCGACAAAATTAAATAAAAAATCATCTTCTGACGATGCAGACCTGTAAAGGCTGCGATACTTCAATAAATAAATAAAGTTTCGTGCATTAACCCGTTAAAACTAGTTGGAGTTTACTCCTTAAGAATCGATTTGTAAAATCTATCGATGAATGACATTAATGACCTCGTTACATTTTTGTGCGCAACCTCATCTGCGCACCTTTCAGTTTTACCCATGGCAACGGATAAAAAAAAATAAGTTGTCACAAATGTCAACAAAATAAATAAACTAAAAATAGATAAAATCGGAGCAAAATTAATGAAAACAAATAAATAACAGAATATAGAGAAATGCCGGTAAGTGTCCAACACTCTGGAATAGTGATTTTCAGTACAGATGGAATTATAATACATATTTACAAAATGATGACTAGTGTGTGATATTTTTGAAATTGTGCGTTTCCAGAAATACATAATAAAATATATGATGAATATCGATGATGTTAGATGATAAAATGTGTGACATGGAACCTATGATAGTCGAAACCATGGGACGATTCCTGAGGTATCTCTACTTGTAACCGACTTCTTCGGACTTGATTTTGTTTTGTGTCTGTTCAAAGACAATCGTTTTTAGAGTGTAAACTCCGGTCGTGCGTCGGAGCTGACACACACATTTTTTTTTATTTAATGATCATTTTCTTTAATTGAGCACCTATTTTGTATACTGAATATTCGACGTTAATGTTTGGAGTGTACATACTTAGGCCGTTTGTCCACCGCCGCCGTCACCGTCACGTCACCGAGAACGAGATTATTTCGGGCCGAGTTTAATATGACGTGACGGCGATCGTTTGTCCACCGCGACCGATGGTTTAGTTTGTTCCAACTGTCATGCGTGGTAGTCGCGTTTTCGAAGAAATAAAGTCATGGCTAGGTTAAACCGGCGACAACTTCTTCTCCTGCTTTTGTACCTTCGAAGGATCAGACGATGCAAAGAATTATTATTACAATGTTATATTATGATAATTGATGACAGACAACTGAAATGAGCTCGTGTACGGTGCGACGGCGATGGCAGTGTGTGGACAAGTTCATACGTGTTTTCTATTGCCGGCACATCGGCCCGTTAAAATCTCGGGCCACGTTCTAGCAGTCACGTCGATCTACTCGCAATTTCGCCGGCCGGGATGACAGCGCTCGGGTGACGGATGTGCGGTGGATACGCGGCTTAAGTAAATGTATGTACCGCTACTTCGGCGCCGTCATCTCGTTCTCGGTGACGTGACGGTGACGGCGGCGGTGGACAAACAGCCTTACAGGTGATTTATCTTGTATACTTACAGGAAAGTTATTGAAGCAGGAGGAATAATGGGTGAAGATGATTACCCGTATGAAAATCAAAAAGGCCAGTGCAGATTCCAATCGAGTCAAGTGAAAGCAACAGTAACCAATTGTTACGTATTCAGTTTCCAAAACGAAGATGAAATCAAGCAAGCTTTATTTGAAAACGGACCAATTGCTATGGGTGAGCAAAATATTTCCGTACTACCAATAGGGTATTTGTCAAGTTTTAGAAAATGATCTCACGTTATTGACTAATGTTTATGGAGTCCGTAAAAAGTGGATATTCATCATTCTGTTATGTATTTCAGTAAAAATAATCAAATCAAAAACTCCATTTTCAAGTTGCCGCGAAAACGTTTCTCTGGACAATGTGGCGTCTTACTAGTGTGTGACGTCACACGACTGTTATTAAAACGTCAAACGATACAATGTAATGTCACTTTAACCGAAAGTTTACTTGCGTGTGACGTCATTTTAGACTCCGCCAATCCCAAGCGTTTTGGGTCACGTGACAATAGATAAGAAAACTATTATCTTTTTCGTAAGTTTTTAGTAAAATTATGAATATTTTTTATGTAAAAATAGTAAAAACCCCTGCCAATATTCATTCTAAACACAGATGCTAACAATTGGCACTATATTTTTAACAGTGTCAAATACCCTATTACAATAATCGAAAACTAACGAAATGCAATTGCGATAATATATCTCTATTGAAATAACTCTAACTTTTGATGGTGTTATAATCTTCGAGACGCGATCCAGTTTAAAGAACGTATTTGCCAATTCATTTGGTATTTGTTAAAATAAGAATGATTTAACATAAGAAGGAGATAGACAGGTTTTCTGAGTTTGTTTCGCCGGTTCTTCTCAGAAAGTCTCCTAAAGGAGATTGCTCAAATTGGCCCAAATGCAAAAAAATATTGACATACACGGTAATTCTTGGCGTAATTTATAATTTAATTTACAGTCATTAGATTTCAACGGACACCTTTGTATAATATATTCACTTTAAAAAGGACTTTTCATTTTACCGGTTTGGAAAACATACGAATCATTTTTAATGGCTATGGGTGTAGTAACATTCAGTCAAAGACTGATCGAAGTTGTTTAAATAACATAAAAACAAATCTATTTTGTAAAGATCGATAAAATAAATCATTTTTTTATTACTCTGTGGTATTAATATCCACAACTTTATTATCATTTTCACTTCATGCAAATGTGCTCAGACAATTAGTGCTTAGATGGTAGGCGACATCATAAAGGCTATTGCCATACATTTTTCGAAAAACACCTCCATAAACACATTATAATCTGTTTAGAATTTAAGGTATCTATCTATGGGCCTACGTTGCCTGACTATAAATAAATAAAATTATAAGGTGTGATACACTAAAAATCTAAAATATGGTTATATTAAAAACATAACAAAAATAATGAAGCTACTGAATATATGGCTATACAACCTAAATTTTTTAGCTTCCTTTGGTTAACGAGCGTTTAAAAATTCTCTCTAATCTGTGGCTCATTCACAATCATCACACAGTTTCTATCACAGAGTATCTTATTATAACCGGAAATGACACCTGATTTTAAAAGTTACTCTTATGCATTAACTTTAAAAACAGGCAACTATCTGTTAATGTACATGCTCTATATACCTGAATCTAATCCATAATTTCGGTACTTGGCTTGATTTCCCTAGTTTACTATATAACTTATTTGTTTTTTATTATTTTAATATATTCAGTGTATATAGTTTATAGAAGTTCTCAGGGGTGTCCGTCAATAATATTGGGTTCTACAGTAATTTATATATAATTTCGAATCTAGGAAACAATTTTTCATGATTATTGGTCTTTAGGCCAAACATGTATGGAAGCTGAGCAATCTCCTTTGGAACAGGTGGTAGTTGACGGTAGTTAGGGTCAAACAAATAAACTCAAAATTACAAAAGAGAATGAAATAAGGTACTTTGTTAATTAAATTAGCTAATAGAGAATCATCATCATCATCATCAGCCTATTAATGTCCCCACTGCTGGGGCACAGGCCTTCCTTATGGATAGATTAAGGAGATTGGGCCATGACCCACCACGCGGGCCCAGTGCGGGTTGGTGGGTGCTAACGACTGCAGATGCAGCCGGAACCAACGGCTTAACGTGCCTTCCGAAGCACGGAGGAGCTCGAGATAGTAAATTTTTGGTCACCCATCCAATGACCGACCACTGCGAAAGTTGCTCAACTTCAACGACCGCAGCCGAACGCGCTAACCACTGGCGCCATCGAGCTCCTCTAGACAAACATAGACAATAAACAACATAGACGATAAAGTTTTAAAAATCTTCCAATGAAATATCCAAACGCTCAATAAAAGTCTTCCTGCAAAGGATGCGAAACGTCAATCTAATATATAAAATTCTCGTGTCGCGGTGTTTGTGGTTAAACTCCTCCGAAACGGCAGGACCGATTTTCGTGATTTTTTATATGCATATTCAGTAGGTCTGAGAATCGGACAACATCTATTTTTCATCCCCTAAATGTTAAGGGTAATCCACCCCTAATTTTTTTTTTCAATTTTTGATATTTTTTTTTATTTTTTTATGATACATCATACAAAAATACATACAACCCTAAATTTTCACCCTTCTACCACCAACCCCTATTTTTTTTATGGCCGTACGAAGTTCGCTGGGACAGCTAGTAAATAAATAAAATCAGTGCATCTAACCCGTTGAAACTTGTTTTATTTAATTCATTTGCTTTCTCTCTTAAATGTTATTATGAACAATTATTATTTTTCTCAGCGCTAAACGGGGAAGGTTTAAAAAACTACCAAAATGGAGTATATAAGCAATGCTTCGGGGATGTCGACCATGCTGTTCTCCTAGTCGGTTACGGCGAAGGTATGCATTATACAGGGTGTCTCACGGGTTCGTCACACGGAGAGAAAGTATATTAAATATTGAAGATAGGATATTTTACTGAAAGCGGACATCATTTTATTTTTAATAATAACTAGAACTGCATTCACTGCCAAAAACGAGTATCAAAGTCATGAAATGTGAAACAAAAAAAGACATGTATTTTATGATAACCGTCGAAAGGGTAAAATGTGAGGATTATTTATAACATAGCATTTTAAATGAAAGAATAATCGCAAACTTTGAGTTTTTTTTTAATAATTGAACACAAAACAGGAAAGGAGAAACAAACGGTGTTAGGTTTGTATATGTATCGTTTTATTTATTTTTACACGTACTTATAGTAAGGATCCTGTATTATTAAGTGAGCAGGGACTAGTTTGTAAATACTTTAAAATGATAACATTAGAAGCACGGAAAAGTAAGAGGAAATTTTCTTGAACAATATTTTAATTTCATGATCTTCCTTTCATTTAAAATGATATATTATTTAGGAAAAAACAATGCCTGTTATTAACCCTTTCGATGGTTATGATAAAATAAGTCATGTGTTTTTTTATTAAATTTTCACAAGTTTGATTCCCTGTTGTAACAGACGATTTTAAAAAAATCTGTGAATACTGTTCTAGTTATTATTAAAAATAAAATGATGTCTTCTTTCAGTAAAATATCCTATCTATACTTATAATAAATCTGTAGAGATGTCAATTCTGTACATGAAATATATTTTTAAAATAACTATCAGGGGGTGATTAGTGATCGATACTGATGCCAAAAATGCAATCAGTAAATTTTTTGTCTGTCTGTCTGTCTGTCTGTCTGTGTGTATGTTCCTTATAGAAACAAAAACTACTCGACGGATTTTAACGAAACTTGGTACTATTATTCTTCATACTCCTGGGCAGGTTATAGTATACTTTTCATCCCGCTACAATCAGTAGGAGCAGAGTAGTGAAGGGAAATGTTGGGAAAACGGGAGAAGTTACTCCATTTTTTAAGCTTCCATCGCGTGTGCAGCCTTAATGATTAAAGTTACATAGAAATCATGTATGACGGAAATATTCTACATAAAATTGTCTAAAAAATATCCCGCAACAGCATATGTCTATCTTTTATGGTTGACTCACAATAACACGTGTAACTCCCGATAGCTTAGCAGTTCGGAGCATTCTGATCATATTTGTTTACTCTTACGTTTATAATACTCGGTATAGAAACACCAAACTTATACATGAAATAAGCCATCGCGCCGTCGCACGTGAATACTGAATCATGCTAAAAGGATTATTTTTGTGTAACGGTTGCCGCGCTCGACACGGGTCGCGGCAGCGGTAGGGTATCAAAGGTCCGAGAGCGAGCTGTCTAAATCTGTTTTCTGCGTCGCTCCCCCCCTGGGGGACGATCGCTTCCGATGAAGCCTTAGAGGCCTTCCCGGCCAGAGGCAGCCCCTACGGGTGTTTTTTAGTCAGTACGAGTCTGACATAACCTTGCAGCCGGCTGTAGGGTATCCATGAGGATTTCTCATCTGCTCCCCCGCCTGGGAGACCGAAACCGTGCTTATCAGCGCGACTTTTAGTCTTTAAATAGTTTTTTGAATTTCTTTTGTTGTTATTTTGTAAAACAGGTATTAGTTGTTTTGGTAGTGTTTAAATATTCGTTCAAATTAAAAATTATTAAGTGTAGGTACTTTTATTAATTAAAGTAGTTATAAGTATTTATTTTTAAGTGAAGGAGATATAGTTAGATAGTATTCCAAAGGCGTTACAGCTTTATTTTCATTTCTTTTTTGTTGTGAGTTGTATATATTTCTGGTTATAATTCTATAAGAATATTTTAGTTCAAATAGTCACTTAGATTTTATGTGTAAGGTAGCTAAAGTTAGGACCACGTATTAGTTGTTTTGGTAGTGTTTAAATATTCGTTCAAAGTGTAATTTAATCATATAGGATGAATGTACGATGGCCCATCGAAAAGGAGTACAAGCGGTAGACAGAACTTTAAGAGATATAAGACAAAATGATCGACCCATGGGCGGTATCACAGTTTTATTTTGTGGTGATTTCCGACAAACCTTAACGGTAATACCACGGGGAACCCGAGCTGCTGAGGTTAGGGCTTGCCTGAAAAGCTCTTATTTGTGGCGTGATATACAATCGGTGCATTTGACTATAAACATGCGAGTGAGAACTGTAGATAACCCGGATGATCGTGAATTTTCTGATATATTATTAAAGAAAATACCTTCACCAAAGATACCTATCCACTGCTACACCAAGGAAAACTTATTCTGACGCCTGAGTTATGTTGTATAGTGCAATCCCAACAACATCTTACATCGTCAGTTTACGGTGACGTAACAAATATATTAAATAAGAACAATTCTTGGCTATGCGAAAGGTCTATTTTAACTCCTCGCAATGACCAGGCATCTGAGATTAATAATAAAATACTGTCGAATATCCAGGGGGAAAGCAAAGTTTATAGTTCAATAAATAGAATGGCCGATGAACAAGAAGCCACTAATTACCCGATAGAATTTCTAAATTCTTTAAATATGCCCGTACTTCCTTCTCATGAAATTTGTTTAAAAATTGGCATTCCGATTATTCTGCTCCGAAATTTAAGACCACCACAAATTTGCAATGGAACTCGGCTTAAAGTAACCCAGTTGCAACAAAATGTAATCGAGGCACAAATTTTAATAGGTTGCGGTGCAGGAGAAACCATCTTTATTCCCAGAATTCCCATAATACCAAATAATTTTCCATTCCAATTTAAAAGAACGCAATTCCCAGTATCGGTGTGTTATGCAATGACAATAAATAAGGCTCAAGGGCAGACCTTTCGTGTTGTTGGAGTAGATCTCGGTGTCAGTTGTTTTTCACATGGTCAGTTATGTCGGTCTTTCCCGGGTTAGCAGTCCTAGAATTTTTTATGTTCACGTTCCGGACGGGTCAAATTTCAACGTAGTCTACCCGGAAGCTTTGCGCTGAAGTATTTTCATTCTATATGTACTTAAGACTCATGTGAAAGCGATCTAAACAATATTACCAATACATTAACATAATAACATACAAGGAGTTATACGCTGATGGTCTCGGGGCACAGTGATAATAATAATATTCTGCGGTTCCTTATTGCGATATTTTTAACAGTATTATATTTCCCTACTAAAATACGAAAGTTAATCTGTCTGTCACATCAAAACCACGGAACCCTGAGGAAGGACATATGCTACTTTTTTACGAAAAACGACGATAACGCGGACCAAATCGCGGGCAAAAGCTAGTCTTCAATATATAAGTAATATACTTTCCCCCCCGTGTAACAAACCCGTGGGTTTTTACCTTAATCTTTAGCCTCTTACCTCGCCACTGCTACTGGAACTTGGCTCATATGGACTGTATATGGATTTTTGTAGATAAAGGTGCTGCCGTTCTTTTTTTTTCTAAATGGCTTCGCACGGCTTGTGCATTTAGCCAATGTCAAGTGTTTAAATGTTTACAAATACTATAGCACTCGTGGTCAAAGTAATAAATCAAGTCAAAGTAAGTGGCAGTCAAGTCAATCCCCCTTTCCCTATGTTTCAGTAAAAGTGTGGGGATTTACTGGAACCTCCCCGTGGACTTCTTGAGGGAACGTCGAAAGACACTTTCCGCTATTTTGTTTCACTTGCCAACACTTGTGCATGTTCCCGAATACTTATTGGTTAATAATACACTATTATTAGACACTAACATCCGCCACAACACAATTTTTAACAAGAAAAACAAAACTGCTAAAGTGTCGCTTCGCGATCCCGCCAAAAAGTCGGTGCTGCCGTTATAGAATAGTATAGAATACTCTTTTTTTTGCTATTAATACGGTTGACAAAAGGTGTTGGCACATACAGCATAATGGTCGTGGCAGACATATCAAATCGTAAAGGCATTGTCACCGTATCAACTCGAGCCGTATTCTTTAGTATGAAATTCCCTACTGCAACGCACGCTAATCTATACTAAATTTAAAGTTAACTATAAAATTTATTGTAACTATATATCTTTATCCTAAATGATCTAATGGAAGGTGACTTTAGAAGTATCTCTGAAGTCATTTTTCAGCTTGTCGAATCTGTTTATAACAAAACAAAACAAGTGCTTGTAACAGCCTCGACTAAATAAATGATTTTTGATTTCGATTTTTGAATCGAAATCGTACCGTAATCGCATCGCGTCGGACAATCACGTTTTAATCCCTTCCCGAGTTGGTATGTTTGCTGGGGTCTTAAACCTGTTTAGTCATATTATTAGCTTGCAAAAATATACCAAGCTATCGATATAAAATAAAAAAATAAGTACTAAAGAACTAATTCGTAATTCACAGATCCATCTGATGGTCCATACTGGTTAATCAAGAACTCTTGGGGAGTAACATTTGGAGATCAAGGGTATGCTAAGCTTTTGAGGAATCAAAATACATGTAATATGATGGGGGGAACTTTCTCGACCGCTGCAATGTAAGGCTTTTAAATGCTAAACACATTGACACTTTGTAAACACGGTATGTATTATGTAATATGTCAATAAATTGATTGTCCAAGTAAAGCGTTTTATTTTATACTAGCGGCCCGCCCTCGCTTCGCTTCGGTGTAGAGCTGAAGTGTAGACTACAGTTTTTGTTCTCAGGCTTGATTATACACAATGATATTCATCTATGATTCTTCTTATATCTGCATGTAAAGTCTCAGCCCGATCGGTTTAAAATTGACAAAGTTTCATACAAACTTTCATTCCCTATTTTATCCCCTTGGGGGTAGGATTGATCAAAATCCTTTCTTAGCGGATGCCTACGTCATAACATCTATCTGCATGCCAAATTTCAGCCCGATCCGTCCAGTGGTTTGGGCTGTGCGTTGATAGTTCACTATGTCAGTCAGTCAGTCACCTTTGAGTTTTATATATATGGAAGACTAGTGACTCGCCATGGTTATGCTGGTCTGGTGATAAGGTTCTTACTTTATATTGATGAATGAATTTTTGAAATTGTATGAGTCCGGACGGCCTACTAACAAGAGTTTTCACAGGACCATCTCCTGCATCTAAACTTACAAACTTTACCTGTTTATAGTATGAGCTTAAAGATATGTTATATTATCCCTTACCCGTCCGAGCTCCAAAAAATTGTTTGTCCCTGTGATATTTATAGAGATTGGATGCATCTCAAAACCGAACTCAAATTCAAGTAGAACATCTGTTAAGTATGGTATGGATATTAAGGTAGGCTCTATAAGTTCTTTAAACCTAATAATACTTATTCTAGATAAATAATTTTCTTAAGATGAATAACCACAAGTTGTACTTATATTTCATTTAACCCATGCGAATTATTGTATTCGATAATAGTTTGCATAGGAAAAGTGCATTTTACAAGCATTTTTTCTATACAAACTATTATTTGAAAGTTGTAAAGCTTGTAAAGTTTCGCCAAGAAAAATTATTGCCTATAAAATAAGAACCCTAGATTACCTACTTTTATATGCGATAGAGTAACACTTGTTCTTATTATCAATGGTTGGAAAGCAAATTATACCTAATCGTCAATTATAAGATACTTTTGTAATGAAACTGTAACAATATTAAGACATCCAACATTAGTTGACACAAGGAACCGATTCAGGCAGTGTAGTTCTACGCTTTAAAATTTGAATGAACCAGAAAAAACCACAAAGATGCTATTGTGGCGGCTCAAATGACGAATATACTACGCATTCTTTACGAAAGCATCTTTAGCATGAATGAGAAGAGACCATAGCCATTAATAACTGGCCAAATATGGCCGACCAGACTCTCTGGAACCAACAATTCATCGTCAACAAACGATCCAAAAGAGAAAAAAAAATCATCTATTATTTATCTATTCCGATTTTGTCGTGTGTTCGGCACGATATTAAAATACAAACATGAACAATGACACTTCATTGTTGAAAGACGAAAAAAGGTATAAAGGAAATTTATATCGACCGCCTTCGCTCGGGACAATGGGACCGCGGGGAGGAGCGACTGGAGAGAAAAAAAACACATCAATGAAACACAGCAACAATAGTACTTTCTCAGAAGTAACTCGACGTAGGACTTAGGAATAAGCTAGCGTGAAATTCGCGGCTTTCTTCGAACTAAGTCTCATTACAACACAGAGACAAACAGATACAGAAATAGCGGTAGACTGCCACCGGGATGCCATTACGAGAGTTCTATTGTCGGCTGAGATGAGTTTGGAAATTGAAATTTAATGGAAATATCAAATGAAACTCACACAAGAGACTGAGCTTGGACGATGCTAGCTGATAATGGCGCTTGTGACTTGAAACGAAATGAGCCGTTGTATAAGCATTGATGTTCGCTTCATGATGTTAAATTAAACTTTGTCGAGCAACAATGTCGAGTGTCATTCACCGAGTCTATTGTATGTTTAATATTCAATGGCTTATTATAAAATATGAAGCTTCCAGATTAGCCGAGCAGTGAACGAGAATACAGAATACACATTCACAATATTCAAATGTGAGTTTATAGCTTAAAAATTTCTTATGATTTTGCTGCTTCATTTAGTTCCGACGATGATTGGAAAACGATTGGGATTAGTGTTGTGTTTCATAAATTATAATGTTAACAATAAAAATAATAAATCTGCTTGATTTATATATAATTTTAACTTTTCACTCATTTAATCCTGTTCGTGACCTTTGGTCTTCACATAACCTATCCTTAGTTATCCCACCCCACTCCACTGATTTCGTAGCTAAGTCATTCTATGTAAGAGCTGTTAAATTGAGGAACTCTTTACCTTTAGATATTAAACGTGCACGGACGAGGGACTCCTTTGCTATTAAAATTAAGGATTATTTCCTCAAGCTGGATTCTGACTGATCTTTTTATATGTATCATTACTTTGTATTGTATTTTATAGCTTCCATATACTTTCTATATTTTATTTTCCTATATTTACGTTTATTTATTTACTTTTACAATGCACAGCCCGCTGTTTCTACTATTCTTATGGTATCGTTTTATTTAGCCAAAGGTTGCCTGGTAGAGATTGCTACCTTAGCAATGAGGCCGCCTTTGTGTTTGCGTTCCTGTTTTATGTTTGGTGTTTTTTTTGTAATAGTGCAATAAAGAGTATTCATTCATACATTCATTCATAACTTACTTGGTTTACATATAACCCGGACCTCAAATTTGTACTTAAGGCTAGAACCAAGTTAGAAGCTGACTATTCTTTTGAAGGTGAGACGGTGCTCTACCCGGGGACTGTTTCTATAAATTGCTTGATTATTTTATCTAGTGTTCTCGAGATCTGAAAATTTATTATCATGAACACAATTGATCGCGACAGGGTATCAGCTAATCCCTGTGTAGATCCCGGGACATATTGTCGTCAACTCATGTGTGTACCTATTGTGGGAGGCTTAATCAATTAATTTTATCGTGTGGTTCGTAATAAGGATTATGCGTTCCAATGGTTTCCAATGAGGATAGAAGTGGTGCTCATCAAGTGTACCATTGATGGTGATGATCCTGACTCCATTGATAGTAAAGCTGACAAAAAAACAGTTTGTGGAAATAACGCTAACGTCGATATGAAGTTTGATAGATCTTGCAAATTGTGCATTCAGTACCTACATCGGTTATTTTAGTTGTGATTTAAATTTTTGCCGAACTTTATCTTCTGAAACTGGCAAAAAGTTATGTTGTTATATCAGAAGCAAAATCTTAAGTCCATTGTTGTAACACTTACCATGAACATTTTAAATCAGAAAGCCTTCCCCCCATAGGGGCGTCATTATCAGTCGATAATATAGGATGCGTTATTGCGATATCTATTTCAAACGACAAAAATCTGGGATAAAGACCTAAGTGTTTTGATAGATACTAAAACGAAAAAGTGTGTTTACCAAAACTGTTTTCTTTATTGCATTTCGGCTAGCAGGGGAGAGAGTATATATCGAAGATGGCTTTGGTAGCCACAGCGAAATCAACATTTGTTTTGAAGATGAGATCAAGTGCTGATATAAGTGAATTACCGTCAGTGAAAAAGAATAAAGTGGGGATTATAATAAGAATAAGAAACAACAACATTTAGAGTAAATTACAAAATTTTACTTGATAAACTCTACGGGCTCGGTATAAGGGGACTAGCATTTGAGTGGTTTAAATGTTATCTTCGGAATCGACACCAGAGCGTAGAAATACAAAATGTCAACTTCGAAACTGCAGAAATTAGACATATCAGATCTGATTTTACCCCTATCACCGGATCAATACCACAAGGTAGCGTTCTAGGTTGTATACTCTTTCTGATATACGTGAATGACCTGTCAGATTCAATTCCTTTTGATAATGTGCTTTATGCAGATGACGTTTCAGTAGTCTTTTCCTGCACAAGCACTGATTCACTTAAAGTAAAATTGGACGCGACATTAGATTCGCTTACAAAATGGCTAGAGTGTAACAATCTACAGCTTAACCTGGAGAAAACTAAATTAATGGAATATAGACCTCATCAAAAGACCCCATTAAACATCAACTACCAATACAAATCCAACAAATTAGAAACTGTAAACTCTGCAACCATGCTAGGGATAGAGCTAGACTCGCATTTAAACTGGAAACCACTTACTCAAAAGCTAACAACTCGATTGTCCTCTCTCGTATATGCACTGAGACAGTTGAAACGCAGTACTAACCTTAATACCACCCTTTCTGCATATCATGCATTTGTCCATTCCAGGCTGACCTATGGCATTATATTGTGGGGTAACTGCACGGATATTCATGATGTTTTTGTCCTCCAGAAAAAAATTATAAGAATACTTGCAAATATAAAACAGACAGACTCCTGCAAACCATACTTCAAAAAATTTAAAATACTTACCATAACATGCCTATACATCTCTGAAGCCTGCAAGTTTGTGAGAAAACATATCGAATTATACTCCCTAGTAAAATTAGTAAGACGTAATGATCGCTACCAGAATAAACTGAAGCTCCCGTTTTCAAACTTGAAATTGGTATCTAATTCTCCACACTCCATGATAATTAAAATTTATAATCACATACCCAACAATATTAAAAATTTGGAAAACGATACAATTTTTGAAAAATGTCTAAAGGAATATCTTATTAATAAATCATATTATAATATATTAGAATTTTTCCAAGATAAACATATTTGATATATAATTTTAATGAAGTAATAAAAAAAAAATTAAATTTCATGACATACCTCTATATTATATTAAAAATTCTGAGTGTGAAAATTGTATATTAATATCTATAGTTTTTAAATTGTAAAATATATGTATTTTTTAATTTTAATTTTGGTAAGATGCATGTTTAATAATTGAATTGAATTTTTTTATAATATATTTGATTGTTTGTTTAATTAATAATAATAATTTAAGTAAAATTGCAACGCCCTTGCAGGGTGTCACATGTTTGTACAGGTTATGATAATGTTGTTTTTTGTACTATCTGTGGCATGCAATAAAGAATAAATAAATAAATAAACATAATAATAATAATAAACAAAAACTTA